CTGCTCCGACTGTGCGAGAAGCAGCCAGTCGTCCAGGTAGGTCGCTAGGCGAATACCCTGTTGTCTTAACGGGGCTATCGCGGCTTCCGTACATCGTACAAACACCCTTGGACTGAGAGACAGACCGAAGGGGAGTACTCTGTATTCATAACAGATCCCCTGAAATGCGAATCTCAGATATTTCCTGTGTGGGTAATATACTGGGATGTGAAAATACTAGGGCTGTCAAGTTAACGCGTTAACGCAAAAAAAAATGAACGCCACTAATTATTTTAACGCGATTAACGCATGTGTATTTTTTTTCCTCGGCCGCCCCGTAGTTTCAGAGCGCATCAAGTTTAAAATACCATCTACAAGCTGATGCTGACAGCCCCGCTCCTGCCGCCCGCTTGTGGCAGACCACACTTCCACGCTCACCGGCAGGCACCGACTGGCTATTGGGAGGACCGGGAGGGTGTGTGTATGTGTGGCCCGAGCGAGCGAGAGAGAGACCTTACGTGCATTGTTGTTGTTAGCATCTGGTGCTAGCTAGCTGCGCTAACGGATATGGAGCTGTTTAAATGAAAACAGAGGAGCGACATTTCGCCACAACTGCGCCGAGCACTTGACTTTATGCAGGAAGCCAGACAGTGGGACATTGTACGAAAAGTCAGCACACTCAGCACGGATAGTGCGCGCAACATGATTGCAGCGTCCAGGCAGCTCCCGTTCGAGCATATGCCTTGAGTTGCACATAGCTCCAACGATCCATCACACACACACACACACACACACACACACACACACACACACACACACACCCACACCATTTGTATTGTATTATTGTATGAGAGAGGTTCCAGGTTGAATTGAGGCGAATATTTTTAATGTTCAGAGGTTGTTGTGTTTAATATTCATGAGAATATTTTCATTGTTCAAATGATAATAAACATTAGCATAAAGCATATTTGTCCACTCATATGTTGATAAGAGTATTAAAAACTTGAAAAATATTCCTCTAAGGTACATTTAGAACAGATACAAAATGTGCGATTAATCGCGATTAACTATGGACAATCATGCGATTAAATATTTTAATCGACTGACAGCCCTAGAAAATACGCATCTTTCAGGTCGACTGATGTAAACCAGTCGTCTTGTCGCACGAGCCGCAGCAGAGATGTGTGAGTGAGCATTCTGAACTTATATATTTTTAGATATTTGTTCAGAGCCCTCAAATCAAGTATTGGCCGAATTCCGTTCCCTCCCCGTTTGGGAACGAGGAAGTACTTGGAATAGAAGCCGCCCTGACTCTGCTCGGCGGGTATAATAGATATAGCCCTCTTTTCTAGGAGTGAGAGAATCTCTCTCTCCAGAATATGGGCTGACTCTCCTCGGGCCTGCGAATGCAGAATGCCTGAGAAGCGAGGGGGGAGTGACGGTGACTTGGAGTTTGTAGCTCCGTGTAACTGTCTTGAGAAACCCAAGCAGATGTCGTGAGCATCTCCCGCTGTATGCTCCTTAGAGCCAGCTGAGATGTCACGTCTCTTCCCCTCTGAGTCTCTATTTGTTGTGTCCCCACCGACACAGCGCATGCGTGTGGCGGTGGTGCCCTTACGGCTCCAGCCAGGCACTGCGCATGCGCGTGACGGTGGTGCCTTTACAGCCCCAGCCGGCACTGCGCATGCGCGTGACGGTGGTGCCTTCACAGATCCGTCAATTGTCCGCCCTTTGAGAGAGGCCGTAGCTGCTCCCAGAAGGGGAACAGTTGACGGACTGTTTATTGTTTTTATTGTTTTTCTTTTCATTTTTTCGAGCTGCGCCCTTGGCTCGAAGCCTGGATGCGTCAGCGGAAAATGTTTTATGACAGAAAAATCAATAAGTGTGTGACGTGTTTATGCTGACTTGAGGATGGTGTTGAGGCATCTCTCGAGGCGGCGGGAACACATTTAGAGCTGGGGAACTGTAGATTTCCAGCTCTGTCACAGAGGGGAGAAGGAGGGGCTGTCACGCCGCTCGCTTCTTCTTCCTCGACTGCTGGCCGAAATTCTGGGTTGGCTGCGCCTGGGCTGCAGCCGGAACCGGAGATTTTCTAGGCCAGCTAGCCCTCGTCCCCTGCCTGGGCTGGGGACTTGGGGCGGACTGCGACCTCTGCGTTTTCGGTATTTTGAACCGAGCAGGGTTCGGGGCAGCTTGGACGAAGGGCTGCCGCTGCGAAGGCAGCGGCTGGGCCCTTCGAGGGAGGCAGAGGTGGAGGGCCTCGTCCTCCTTCTTTTTCGACTTGCATCTCCTCTGCATGGAGGCAAGAGCGGAGCCGAAAATCCCCTCGGGAACGATGGGCATGTCAAGCACATCCTCCTTTTCCCGGTCTGGGAGGTTGGTGAGGTTGAGCCATCTAGCTCTTTCCTGCACCACCATGATCCCCATTGTTTTGCCCGTGGCCTGGACGGCGCAGCGTTGGACACGGAGACAAATGTCTGTGACCGCGGCCAACTCGTCCAGAACGGCCGGTCCAGGATTACTCAACATATCCTCACAGAGCTCCGCTTGGTATGCGGTTAGCAGTGAGGAAACGTTCAGAGCCATGGCGGACAACACTGCGGCTCTGTAGGACCGTTCAGTCATGGTCGACTGGAAACGGTCCATCTTCGCTGGCAGCGTGGGGTTCCTGCTTGGTGACGGGCCCATCCTCGGTAGGAGGTGGGCTGCCACCAGCAGTTCCATCGGCGGTATGCGGAGCAGGCCGAGCCTCTCCATACCGTCGCAGTCTAGGGAGGAGGCACCCTGGATTGAGGCCTTGTTGCTAAAGGGTCGGTCCCTCCACGAGACCGACACCTCATCCAACATCTCCGGGAAGACCGGGAGGAGTTGCCTCCTTGTCCTCGTTGCTTGGGGAGAATGTTTCCCCTCGTAACGGGACCTGGCGGTCTCCTTGGCCATTTCGGGCCACAGGAGGTCTAGCCTGGACGCAGTGCGCTGACACGCGGCCTGCAGGTCCATGCTCAGACAGGGCGAAGCTGGTGTGCTATCGCCCGGGAGAGCAGCCATCACACCCGGCTATGCCGTTTGAGCCGATGACGTGAAGATATCTTCTTCTTGCTCATCCGAATCAGACAGGAGGAACTCAGAGGTGTCCTATTCGTCCTCCATGTAGTCTAATTCCAGGACATCCTCCGCGGGCGAGACCATGGTGAGGTCTCGCCGGGAGCTCCCGCCTGGTGAGGCGTGGGGCTCCGTTCCCGCGTCTCTTGCCGCCACCGGGTCCCGGCCTGACACGGCGTGGGATCCCGGTTCCGCAGCTGCCGCTGTTAGTGAGCCCCAGACCGACACAGTGAGGGGCTCAGTCTCTGCGGCGGACGCCCCCGTGTCTTGATTGCCAAACGGCGAATCAGTGGACATGAGGGAGTCCTGTTCCAACAAGCTAGCTTGGTGTGCTAGCCGTCGGTGGAGGCTCTTTCGGGTGAAACGGGCACAATGCCCGCACGAGCCGGGGTTGTCGATAGCCTCCTGGGCGTGTTCCAGCCCGAGCAGACCTGGTGTGAATCTGTGCCTGCTATCTTCAACCCGCAGACCGCATGACCGAGTCTCCGAGTCCCTGACTCCTCTGGTGTGAGGGGGAGAGGCGTCCATCTTGTTCGCCTCGTGGCGTGGAGAGGACCCGCTCGTAACAGGTACGTCGTTGAGAGAAAAAGTGTTACCAACCCGTCCTTAATCCGGAGAAAAAGGGATGGTGTGGGTCCTTCGTTCTCAAAGAATATTGACTGGTGTGTCAATATACTTCTAATCCTTTTCTCCTCCGTGAGAGAGAAAAAGAAAAGCGTCCTCGCTACCGTGGTGTCGGTAGTAAGGGGAAGCTAGCTAGCAACAGGTGCGTAGCTAGCTTGAGAAAAATCAAAACCTTACCTTACTTTCCGGGAAAGAAACGGCGAGGTCGATTTTAATACTAACTGGCGTTAGTATTACCGTCTTCTTGCGAAGCAGAAGGAGTAGCCGGCGAGCGCCCGTCGACCGAAATGGTTATATTTGGGTTCAGTCTGTGGACCGTTAAGCTTGTCCGGCTACTATAGAGATGTGCTTTGAAGCGAGAAGAGGTGTTTGAATGACGCATGCGTCGTGGCGCAAGCTACTTATAGGGGGTGAATTCCCTGACGCTGACGTCAAGATCACCAGCCAATCAGGATTGGCGTAATGAGATTGATGCTTCTGTTTGCTCCGCGATGAAGCGCATCCCATAGTGAGACATCGAACGGAGTGTTATGAATGAGAACTTTTCCTATTTATTAATGTATTTTCCTAACATTAACAAATGGTACACTGCTGCTACAAATAGTAATTATTATTGAATAGGGATTCAGCTGTGAGTTAGTAAAGCCATCTCCTGGTGAAGAAATCACATTACTTCAATTTTCTTTATTGACTCCCACACTGCAGTAATTCAAGGTGACCACAAGATGGCAACATAGCCCAGGGGCCCTGATCATTCATTACAAATGCTGATTTGCATACACCTCAGTCTGTCATCTTGTAATTTGAATTGGGAAAATCAAATACCACGCAAACAGTGCAATGCATTGTATTGCTAGATGTTTTTATGGCTGAACAATTATAATGTGAGGCCTCAGACCGCAGAAATCTTATTGGAATAAACTGCATGTTGTGTATCAGATATCTGATATAAAACAGGCAGAGGAAGTTTGAGTGCATATAGCAGCTCTATGGCAGTCACCTAAGCAGGGACAGAGTAAAACAAGATACCTAAATATAATATTAAATTCCAAATAGATAACACAGAAGTGACAATAAATGTGCTTCATAACGTATACACAAGAAGGGATGCATAAAAAAGTATGAATTCAAACATTGATTAATGCATATTATAAATACAGTTGTATACATTCCTTTTTATTATTATTATCGTTGTTTTCATTATTATTATCAGACTCTTGTCGCAGGTCAGGTTGTCCCCTCTCCTGATTGGTGGAGCACAGGGGGAGGAGGAGGAGTCTGGTGACGTCCTCAGTCTCGAGAGTCACACGCCAAGTGGATCCCAGCTCTTCTCTCCACACACACATGCGCCTCTCTCTGCGGCTTAATGACGATGCTTCTGAAGAGGTGACCACCGCCGGACCCTGAAGCACATTTCCCCGGCAATGGCAAACAAATAAACCCAGCCTGAACCAGCTGCTGCATCTCCGAAAACATGGCGAGGAGGAGGCGGTGAGAGCTCAAGAGAGAAGCTTTCCTTGGACGGAGGCGAGCACACGTCGCTCCCTTGTCTCGTAAGAGGATAAAGAAAAAGGGAAAGCGAGCTATTTAAAGGCGGACTGTTTGTATTATCCACCGGCCACACCATGAGTGGAGGGCCGGATGAGAGCTCGGTGCGCGTCGCCCTGAGGTAAGGATGCAGACCCTCCTCTCTCCAAAGATGCTTACACCTGCTACAACAATGCACATGATGTTCCTGCTTGTATTCCTGCTCCACCCTCCGGTATTGACTACACATTTAGTTCAGACACTCCATTCTACCTGTCCCTCTCTAGTGCATCCATTTGTATTCTTTTATCCCCAGATTCTTTCAAAACAATACCCCTTCTTGCCAAAATGTGCTTTTATTTTGAAGCTACATGTCCTCCTTTCAGTGCCAGGAGCTGCACTTTAATTCCCATTGCCTGGACACATATACACCAGGAGCCTATGATAAGATGAGCTTCTTTTGTTAATACCTGCACTGCATGCTATAGGTTTATGAATGAATATCTCAGCTCCTAAGGATTAGGCTAAGGAAAAGCCTGTAACTCTCCAGTGTGTTGTCCTGTCTACAGGAGACACACTATCCTCTATCATTTTTTTTAAATAGAGGACAATGACTGGTATATACACATTTCTATTAATTTATTCTTATTATCTGCACATTCTTCTTTTGATTAAGTAAATAAATAAAAGGTCAGAAAATACAAATAAAAGTCAATCCCCTTCAGAGAGGATTATTTCGACCTTAATGACAGCATGACTAACAGCCTTTCAACTGTTTTTCACATTAGCTTGAACCAACTAAAGGAACACACTGTCTTATATTTAGAGAGCAAAGTTAGTCGTCCAATGTGTTATAGGGTGTCACAATTCACCATAAGCAGGAGGAGCTCAACAATGTAGTATCTTTAAAAGAAAAGTGGCCACGAATGAAAAAAGGTGAATTTGTGGTGTGTTTTTAGTTGAGTTGCGGTGACATTAGGAGTCTGACCTTTGCCCCTTTGGCCAATCCATGCTGCCGCTAACACAGCAGACAAGCGGAGATAGTCCCAGTCTGTACACTTCTGTGGGTGTGTGTGGAACAGTAGGACTTCAGACATCAATGATAGGGCGGCAGCTCAAGTAGGGGGCAGGTGCTTTTCTGTGGCGGAAAGTCAATCTGAAAAACGTCATGTGAACTGGATCAGTTGAAGCAAGAGGACAAAAGCTTGCTGCTATCATGTTTCTCTTCCCTCTCTCTGCCTCGCTTGCTATTGTGCATTCAGACTTTGACCCAGAACTGTTTACTGTGCCAACTCAGTTTAAAAGTGCCATAGATAATAAACAATATAATCTGACACAGGATATCCTGTCATGCACTCAGGAGTCTTATCAATAGGATTTCATTTGTCTGTCTTCCTTAATAACTCAATATGGGAATAAAGTTGCAGGCTTAAATAGCTGTTGAACACACAACATACACAACCACACACACGGCAGCAGAAAGGTGTGTGTGTCTCTGAATGGAAACTACCTGCTTTTGTATTTTCTTAGAAAGCTCATTCATTATTCACAGAGCTCGGTCGTCTTGTTTGCTAGTTGGGTTTCCACCGTTAGTCCTATTCATGGTCAGTGGAGTATGCATTGGTTTGTTCTTTCATATATTTGTCTTTCTTTCTTCTATTATTCTGTTCACTCATTCATTTGGTGGGAACCTGTGAACGTATTAGTTATGTATTGACCGTCATACCTGCAGACATTGTGTTCCTTTGTTTTGACAGGAAATTGATTGTGGAAATTGATTTGAGGGGATCATATTAGATTAGGCAGGTCAAATGACTTTAAATTCTGCCTTTAATGTGAAAACAAATACTAAATCCTGAGTCAGGTAGACAGTCAGCTGTTCAGAGACTCTTCAGAGGTCAGCTGTGGCACCTAAAAGTGCCTTGTCACTAATCTTTTATTTTACACACTTACACACACACTTAAGGTGATTCACTTCCTGTCACCGAGGATCAGCTGACCTTACCTTCAAGCTCACAGAACTCCTTAATCTTCCTGTTTGCTTTGTGCTCTATTTGCATTAATGAGTTGTAGACCTTTTAGGAACGCCCAGGTTAACATTAACAATGGTATTTAGAAAGTCACACAAGTGAGGCTTCTTGTACAATACCAGATCACTAGTTTTAATAGAAAGGCCTTTTGAAAAAAAACTATTGATCTGATAAAAAAAATCATTATAAAGTCTATTGGAATGTTAAACTTAAAGCTGCTCAAATAAAAAAATGTATATGATTAAAGGAATCAAATAACTGTGTAATATGAAAAGTTTTACATGTAGTGAAAAACATTTGATTGGATTTTATAGAGTATTATCATCCATTTATTGAGATCCCCTTAGCGTTAGTCTTTTATCTCATTGTTTTGGTTTGTGTCACCACTCTTATTAAAGAAAACACTTTAAACCCACGGTTATCTAACTGCTCACCACTAAATTACAGACATCTAGCAATTAGCTCTTGAACATTGTGCAGTATTTAGCTGCTAAAGAGCCAGACATTTCCATAAGAAGTTGGTGGAGACCAAAACAAAGCTAAAAAAAGACAAATCAAACCTAAGAACACAGCCACAAATGAATAATGTTTCTTTTAGTCTACTAGATGTGCAACATGTAACATGATGGTGTATAGATTGGACTGCCTAAAAACAATGAAATACATAGAAGTCGAAACTATGTATAATTGTAATGTATATATGTACCATCAACAACTTTCAAGAAACTAGAATAAACTGACTAAGATGCTACTTCAGCACCATTGGAATTCCCTGTGATAGCAAAAGCTAAAGAAATAAACACTGTAACAACACAAGTCTGCAAAAAAGGGATTTTATTTTGTTATGTCCTAACACAATCTTTAACCATCTAATATCTTTGGATGACAGTTAATTGGTTTTCACTTGATAGTCCCTGGAAGTCCTACCTTTTCATCTGCTACTAAATGCCTGACTTCATCTCTTTGAACCTCAGACCGCAGCTCCATGTGGGTATTTTGAGTTATATTAATCGCCGTAGCAACATTCTAATTATTTGGAGCTTGTGGTGAACCTGAAATCTCAATCAGAGGCTTTGACAGTGTGGGCCTCTCCCCACTCTGTAATAGTTTAGGTAGCTGTGTGTGTGTGTGTTTGCAGTAATCAGCTAGAAGGTTGCCAACCAGTTCCTGTCTCAGCCTGCGTGGCTCATGCTGTCTGTTAGCAAGCTCCTAATCCCCCATACCCCCGCCCCAATAGTCCAGAGTGATGAAGTGCTTCTTTATCATCCTGGGGTCTGGAGCCTGAACAGAGGGAAAGTGTCATTTTGATTTCTAACTTTGAAGATGATGCCATTTGAAAGTGGATTTCTTTTTTTTTTTGCTCCTGGTGGATGTGCAGTGAGACAATTCAAACATTTCGATGTGTGTGTGCTGTGCTGCTGCTGCCAAGTTTTGAAGATCATCACGCCTGACAGCATGCAGATGGGTCACTTCAGTGTTATTGGATGATTCAGTAAACACACACACACACACACACACACACACACACACACACACACACACACACACACACACACACACACACACACACACACACACACGCACAGTTAGTGAGGGTTTACTGGGTTATTCCCTGTGTGAATGTGTCCCAGATCTCTTTCCCTACATCTGTCTGTTGGCATATGTTTGCCGTGTCCCATATTCCACGAACAAAAACCATACAGGAAGCTAATGATTTATCCAAGAAGGAAGTCATGTTACAGACTTTGTGAAGGGGCCACTCAAGTGACTTATTAGTATGTCAATGCACTTGCTTTAATAATTAAGAGCCTACAGCCAGAATTAGCCAACAGTGAAGAATCAGGTTTCTTATTGTCAAACTCGGAACAGCAGAGCTCTTCCTCTTTAATGAGCTGTGTTTGTTTTTGAAAATGGAAAGGTCATTTTTAATCCTGCTTATACTAGTAATGCTTCAACGCGCGATAGAGTATCATGCAGGTTAGTACATCTTGGCGGTAGACCCAACAACTTTACTCTATTGCTAATATCCCTGTTGACTATCTTCTATTGGCTCCTCTCAGGTGACCGTCAGACACAAGCCCCACCTTCTTGACCTTTGTGGATTATGTTTGAGGGCAAAGGCTGTGTGCCGGCTGCTACGATACAAAAGCATTGTGTGTGCGCTCGTATGTGTGCGTGCATGCATGAACCTGTGTGTCCGTCCAGGCATATTTGTGATAAATATTCATGAACCAACTCAAGTTAACTGAGACACAAAGCAAAGCATGCTGCTAAACAATCTGCCAGCTGCTGTCATGTGATGTTGCAGTTACTGAGATATTCAGTAACTTCTGTCTAACTAGGCAGAGATTAATTCAATATGGATTTTTATATTTTGAATCCTGCGGCTATGTTTTAAAATCCTACTTTTCCCACCATAAATGAATGCAAAATATGTTTTCAATGCTTATTTTAAGCTAGTTTCCACTGCTTTTGCCTGGTATTTATCGAAGGTCCCATGTGTGCCATGAGTGGGAACATTTCAATTAGTGTGTGTGTGTGTGTTATCCTCATACGCCCTCTTTGACAGCCACCATCCTCTTCCACCTCTCTCTCCTTCCCGCCCAGCGACCTTTGACCCAGGAAACAGTCAAGAAGAGCTGTGATCAGTGACCCACTCAGAATGACCCCCCCCCCCGACAGCCTGTTTTAGCTGTCACCATGGCAACCATGGTTCCTTTCAAAGGTTTGGGTGTGCAGTGATGTCCCTGTGAATGGACACCAGTCAGTCAGCCATCCAAACAACGAGAGAAATACAGAGGGGGGCGGAGTTTATTTCCTTAGTCAGCAGATTTCTGTTGTTTTCTTTCCCATTCTATTGACCTTTCTCCATTATTCCTGGCTTCATTCCCAAATGTTCAGTGTCACATCAGTGCCTAGCTGTTTTTACAACGAATTCTGAAGGAAACTACAGATTCAAGGTCTTTGTCATACGTCTTTCTCACTTCCTGTCAACTGGTGTGAGGTTTCTCGCCATCCCGACAATAACTAGTAAGAAAATGAATGGGAATTCACTGTAAGAGCCACATTTCAGATATTGGTGGGCCAAAATAATCAGACGCAAGGCATCAGA